ATGTCTGCCAGTAACATTGTGGGATGTAAAATAATGTATAAGAAGCTGGATTTAGACGGCGGTACTTATATATTTTTAGACACAGTTACAAAGTAATAAAGTTGTGACTTGTGACGTAATATTGTTTGAGCTGGTGTCGTGTTGTGACGACGGTAAAAGAAAACCCGAGACTTTATAAGTACTTGTGGAAATCTCAGATCTTTTCAGGTAACACTCGTCGTTAAAATATTGTCAATAGTTTCTTGGTAAAGTTGTATTAGGTCGCCCTTTGTTCTACTGTAGTTTCATAGTGACTATTTGCTAAGCGTTGAAGAGTTTGTAGAAGTCTAAAGTTGACGGCATAAAATCACATTTTCCGAAGCGCTAGATAGAGTGAACTTTTTTTCTATCTAGCATTCGCTTCTTACTAGTTATGAGGCCCATGTTATAGAGGGTGAGCGTATTACCATACATCGGACACAGTTTTATGTGCTATACTAATTTAATCCCAAATATATGAAACCTACGATGATAGATGAACAGTTTTCTACACGAGTGTTAAAACTTAATACCTTTACTATAAAGTTATGAAAAGGTTACTTCATTGTAGCCGTAATAAGAACATAACTCTAACTATAAACAAAGGGTACAGATATGTTTACTATGTCGCCTCAACTGCTGTTCGCAATGCAATCAATAGAATGTGATATTATGTATCATTATATCGTATGCCTTTTTACTTCATTGATTAGTTGTAAATGCAATTAACTTGAAGGTATGATGTCTGGTTCTAGTAAAAGTATATTTGACCATCAAAGCACGTAATCAGGACTTCCAGTTTTATAATGTCTCACTGCCTATCCCTCCGCGAATAAAGTTTATTAACTTTATTAAATTAAAAAATAAGCATCCTGGATAGTTCACATATTAATAAAAATATTTCCACAATAAAAATAACCACAGTAATTACAGTAACTGGACAAGAATCGGCATGGCAACAGGATAAGAAAGAAGCCTTACAATTCAAATTGTTGCCACCGTAATATTTACTACGAAATGCTGTCAAAGCTTAAAATAACGGCAAAAACTTTGTTACGTCATTACGTCACGTTTTGTGCTAGCATATCGCAGATCAAAATGAGCCTTAGTACTATTCGACATTTCTGTGATGGATTCGCAACGGTAATGTGTTAGACGTCATTTATGAGAAAAACAGAACTATAGTACATTATTATGTAAACATATTATATTATACGTTACACCTTTCATTACTACGGTGGAAGAACACATATTAGACGTTTACACCCTCTTTTTGGCAGCTGAAATCCACGTAGATAATACAAGACGAACTATTTGCTATATACTACACACTATTCTGAACTCCGCGCTGAAAGATCTTAAATAAAAAAAATAACAAAGTTTGAAGCAAGAACTCCTTTGCCAAGCAGTCGCACTCCCGATCACTCGACTGATGAGGAAAGTATGCCTTACGATCATAAAAAGGCGGGCAATGTAACAACGGGTTCCTGTCCCGACAAAAATAAATAAAAATTTTAACTTTTATTTATGCTATCGATCGATTAATTCACCTATCAGTGGATTTTTACAGTAAACGGAATTTGTGAGTCCCGAAATAAAATATTTTTAAATCAATTTTCCTGTTGATTGGAAGTTTGAACCAAACGTGCCGTAGGTACCTAATAATGAAATGTGACGTCACATTTTAGTAGGTAAACAAATGATCTCGCATCATGTCTTGCTTCATATTTTATGTCCTTTACTTGCCTCTTATTTGAGAAAATATCAAATTACTTGAGCATCATTATTATATCAGCTACAAAACCTTCACTGTTGAACATAAGCCTTGCCTAATGACTTTCCGTCCATTTATTTAATAAACTGAACAGTTATCTAACTAATTGTGTCTAAATATAAATGGATATGAAGTTCATGCTCAATCTCTTGTTAGCTCTTCATCAGGAAATACGCCATTGTATCCCTTGCAGTAAGCCGGCACGTGTACTCTCACAACACACGTACCGAACCGCATCCACGTGCATGAACTTTAACTAACGTGGGTGGTCATTCATTACGCAACTTAACGCTTGTCGCACCATTGCACCCTACAACAAACTACTCGACTTTACCAAAAACTAAGTAATGCACTTAACACAATTTTTTGGTTCTACAAATCCATCATGGCGAATTGACACTCCATTGATTCACGCATCCGTGACGAGTTTAGTGTATAATGACGTCACACAACGCCGTGACTGTGACGCTACAGTTACAGCGTTAGTTCCAATCTATTTATAGAGGACAAACTTTGATGAGTGTGTTTTTAGTTCAGACTAGCGTAGGATGTATGAATGAAACGTCAACTTAAGAAGAAACTAACACTAAAAGGCTTAGACGTTTCAACTTTGACATTGAACAAACTACCATTTGATTATACGATAGCATTAGGATTACAAATGTACAAAAACTAGGCTTTTAATGTCAAGTTTACAAGTTCAAATGAGTTCATAGGTCATCATAATATCTATATTGAAGTAAAAGGCCTATGTAGTAAGATTTACCCAAATGGGCAGCAGGTTCGACCGCCTGTCTGACACTGGCAAGTCACCGCAACCCTACAGGTCGTTGACCCTGAAGGACTGTCGGTCATAGTCCTCTCATTGCGTCATCGGTCTCAGGGTAAATGATTGTGTTCACTTCTACTTTTGGAGAATGGATAATTCTTCATAACGTAATCAAGATTATTTGAGTGTCTCGCTGAAAGTCGTAGACTAAGCAGTAGTGAACGGTTTCGAGGGGTGATTCCAGGAATTCCGAGGATGGGAAGGCTCTATTTTTAGGTTTAGCTGGAAAATTCGTTACCACGGAGTCTAGAATTATGTCAGGCGTGTGACCTAGACTAGTAACACAGTCGCTCATTATACTGAGTCGAAAAGTGGGGTTGTAACACTTTTGTAATATGTCTTCTGACTGGTTCTGTATAGGATAATAGCCGTAATATTACGCAGTCCGATAAGGCTTAACCGCGAATCAGTAAGAATGAGTTTGATCGACGAGTTCGATTCACATTATTGATGGCTTTACAGGTGTTTACGTGGAAAATAAATGCGTTATTTCAATCTTCAATATTTTTACACAGCTTACAGCTTTCGAACGGTGTTCATATTTTTTTAGATTGAATATTTATACACGAAACTCTGGCTTTTTATAGATTGTGGAAATATTTTGTATCCAATTGGATATTCGGTGAAATGTCAGTTACGGAATTGTTTTATTTTTTGTTATTTTGTATTCTTTTAAAGGGTAGATTATACGTATTTCACGCCTACGTTTTGCTTGTTACGTTATTATGATAATAACAGATATAATTTCATCCTGTTACTATCAATTTATAATACAAAACAACAATATTTTCTAAACCGAATCGAGTCTATCCTGAGCGACGCTACGCCTAACAAAACAAGCCCAGTATGCAGTATTAACACGAAATACAAATATTCAAACTATTTAAACGTATCCGTGAGAATTGTTAGAAGTGTAATGTTTGCTTTAAACATAATTATGTGCACCGAAGAGTTCAAGGCACTTTTATAGGTTGTTTAAAGTCGACAGGGTATCGGCCCGGCACTGAACCCGCTACCGACATGTTTACATTACTCTACGCCTATGTAAACATCGACAGCTTCCACTGAACGTGCACTTACGTCTGTGCAGTGTGTGCTGCAGGGAAACCACACAATCGGACTCTTTAGCAAATTACTACTGCAGTACTCGTGATTCACATTTTTTCCCTTTTACACTGCGTTATTTCGACTTTTGAAACAAATCGTTAAAGGTTTTTTGTCAAAATGTTGCTATACCTACATTGACTATGGCATTGATGTATTATTTCTTTTTATTTGTATTATAATTTCAAAGTTCTGCGTGACCGGTCTATAAAAATAGATAAATAATAACTTAATGCGAGGTTGTTAACTTCGAGTCCGATCGACATTGACAACCTAAGGAAACACTTTGGGTAACGTCTGTGTCCTTTACGACACGTCACATCAAGCTATCCTATACTGTAACACATCTACAATACATTTTCGACTTTATAATAGAAGCAATACATTTGAATGTCTATAACAGATTGAGTATAACTTATTGTGCTTATGTAAGTACTTACGTAGTTTTCAGTCATTTTGTATTAGTAGTAATTTGTCATTGTAACTGGTACTTTGTGTTTATTATTGTGGTCGCTTCTAATGAATAGTCGTTGGTCTGTCTTTCGTCGTATAACTGAACTATCCAGGAACTTTGTTCATACGAACAATGAATAATCTGAATGTTACATACATACAACATCACTTGTTATTTGAAATTGTGGTACCTATCAAGATTGAAGAATTACTTTTGCATATATAATAACTACAATGCAAGAATAATGTTTATACTACATACGTCATTATATTACGTAGTTATCCGACCAGTTTCGATCCTAACTGGAGCCCTTAACTCGTCGAGTACCGTCATTATAGACACAATTATAGAACAATAAGTTGCGGTCACCGGTGACCGCTTGGTGTTTGACAGTTTAAACAGCTAAGTACGCAGCATACTGTCGTTGTTAGAAATCCAACCATATTTTCCTCGGTCCGTCCAAAAATATTGTCACGAATTTTTAAATCAAATGCGATTTAACTCTAAAATTCAAACGATTAAATTAAATGTCGATTCTTAATGTCTTAAAATTCCGTATATTAAACAGCCTACAACTATTTTTATCAATAAAACACGTCTAAAGATTAATTACGATTTTTTAATTAGTGTAAATTATTCAAGCTACGGCCGGTATTACGGTACATAATTATGAAACTATATGTTCAAGTTAAATTGAATGGGGATTTACATAATTGAGCTTTTTACGATCGCCTTTTACGATTGTTTGAATGTTTGATGCCTTTGTTTGTATTTTATACCTTTTGTATAAGTAAATTAATGTGTTATTTTGTTTGTTACAGGTTTAGACAATCGGATATCGAACTCAAGGAGTTCAGTCTCACCGTAAGTACATTTATTTATTTTTAATTATTTAATTAGATTTGGTTTGGTGACAACACAGTAGAATTCATTTGTCACCATCACTGTTCTCCTTATAAGGTCAGATCTCTCAAAGATTTGTAATATGTTCATTGCAAACAAACTGATCAATATCGATATACATAAATTGATTATTTTACGGTACGTACTATAAATATCTCTCCTCTTTATTCAAATTGCATAGTTTATGAAATTTTGGAATATCAACGATTGTAAAGTTCCAAAAGTTCTGTTCTCGTTTTACCTGAAGCTTCAGGCTGAAGGGAGGTTGAAAACAAAATCCCGTAAGCCTCTGTCAGTCTGTCTGTCTCTAATAGATAGAGGGTTGTTTAGCTGTAAACTGTTTAACCATTTTGTTCGATGGTAAAGGACTTTATCTACGGTTATGCAATCTCTTTCCTCCTCATTTACAAATCTCTTAGTTAATTGAACTAATTGTTTAATTTTATTATTCAAACTATTTTCAATTGCTCTATTGCATTTTATAACCTTCTACTTGAATAAGTGTTAATTAATAAAAATCATCCCCTATTACATGGGACTCATAACATAAATAGTGGAACGAGGTGTTGTACAGTGGCATTAAGTGCCGTAATGTGCACCTCTGCCTACCCCTTCGGAGATAAAAGGCGTGATGTTATGTTATGTATGAGGGTTAATTTCACACTTCTCACAAATCCACAGTCTATAGATAACTCATCGTATTTTACCAACATCTCCTATATTTAAAGCAATCTTTAAGCTGAGACAGGTGACATTTAACATAATTTTTGTTTTAACTACGTTACGTATAAGTGACACCTAACAGTACAAGTAAGGGGTTAGTTTTAGTCCTAGATCACGCTAAGTGGCTTTTATTTCAGTAATAGGGTAGTTGCCTAAATTTTATTTTAATGTCAGTTTGGTAGATTTATTTAAAACATTAGACACGTATTTTTCCTTTCTTACAAAATTAGATACTTTCGACGATATATTAATCTGAAATATCGTGTGACGTCACAATGGGCTACATTTTGTAGCACTTTGTGACGTAACGACCATCTGTGACGTAACGACCTCCCACTCCTAAACTTAACTCCATTTTATCTAAATATTGTGACTTTATACGAGGAAGTAAAAAAATACGTGTCTAATATTTTTTCATTATCTAACTGACGGACTAATTACATTTTTATTTTCATACCCTGGCAATAGTTTAGGGGTTTTATTGAAAACGGCCATTACCAATTATAAAATCAACCACAACTAAGACAATATTGGGTAGGTATTGTTTATTAGTGACCTAATCAATATCAAGTAGGGCTTCGTCGTCACTCGAGAGAATTCTATGAACGATCAAACAGGCGTGGCGAGGGGCACGTTTGACTACACATGTTTGAGAGCCTATACTGAGGCCTTAGTATGAGTTTGTTTTACGCTTAAAGTAATCGTAACGAGTACGCGTTCGGCGCTCTGATTGGTTGGTTCATTGGTGCCGGCCAATCAGAGTGCCGAACGCGAACTCGTTTCGAATACTTTAAACGTAAATCCAACTCGTACTAAGGCCTCAGGACTTAGGCCGTATGACATCGACGAATAACGTGCAGAGGCGGACCATGGTTTTAGTAGGGCTCTAATATATTGTACGTGGGACTTGTTGACAAAGAAAGAGGTACAAAGAAGTGGGAATAAAAGTTTAACTAGAACTTCTATATACTGTACGTAAATAATCATTATCTGTTTGAAAATGTCTCCAGTAGAATAAAGGCTTAACACGTAAAACGCCATTGGGTTAACAGTGGTTTATTGACAGTCACAGCCTTAACATACTACCTGGTGATCAAAGTTAGATTATTAACGACGTGGTTTAATTTCATATGAGCATCTCTTATATCGAAATTGAAAGGTGCCCAGCCCCTATTTATCTCTTCTGTCTAAATACTCGAACACCGCTCCATAGATGCCACAATATTTAAGTACAATTTAAAATTGATTAGCCTTTCAGTATTCGATCGTTTGAGTCAGGCAGAAACCACGGAGCATGATATAGAACTAGTAATAGCATAGGAAAAGCTATAAATAAATAAATTAATATTATTGTTAACTATAATAAACCCTTATAGCTAGATAGATCTATCTAACATGGTACCACACTACCTATGTAAGGCCCAGTCGGTCGCTCTGCAAACAGTCGCCGCACGTTCTCTTCAATGCAAATGAAATGGCTTTCGTCTACCTACAAAGTCCCTAGTGCGAGGTTGTTTTACGTCAACGCGATCGACACGTTTATGACGTTCGCCGCTCTGATTGGCTGCTTCAAGTTGTAGTCACCAATCAGAGGGGTAAACGCGGTAACGTTTTTTTCGCATTTTCGTACAAATAACTCGCACTTGGGATCCAGTTAACTCATTATGTAGGGAGACGCAACCAGACTGATTGTCGATATTATAGGTCTTTTTTAGTTTGTCAGATACTTAGGATTTTGATAACTTTTCAGATAAAAGGATTGTCACATATAACAGATTGAACAACGAGCCGACTACCTTATTCTAAGCACAATTCTGCACTTTATCGTTTTTGTGCTGAGCATTTCAATACCAAATCAATCTTAAGTACTATTTTCCTAATTGTAGTCTAAACTTAGAGATGATGTTTCGGTAGTCCTATAATGTGCAGCATACAAAATAATGATCACTTAAAGTTCAGCTGATTTTTGTACTAATTCATAATCTCTTTTAATTTCAGTGATGTGGTGAACAAGGACCTCGGTTTGTCGGAGAGCGACGATGAGGTCAACGCCGTGATTGGACCGTAAGTTCATTTCAATATAAAATGTAACTTCCAGTTATCCCCAATTATTTTATATATCACATTAATATAGGGTGACCCAGGCACCAAAGTCATAGTCAAAATCATTTATTTCTATTAGACCTGGAAGCCATTTTTGAACGTCAACAAATTTAAAGCTCATTCCAAAGTGTAGATTCCTATGGAGAACAACAATTTGACAATTGCAGACTATGTGCTAATTACTAAGAAATCTTAATAACATGGTCTGACCCGCTACTTGGACTGCAGATTTAAGATCACAACCAGGCAGCCATTGATACCAATACCTGCGTACCTACTTAACAAAATTACCTTCCTCCACTTTTGCACTAGTTCTCCCCCAAGCTAAGTTTATAATTGATTTTTATCTCGAGTTACTCTGTAAGTTTAAAGTACGCAGTCTAAATTGAATTTATTTCAACAAGCCCTAGCCAAGCTTACTTCCATTCGTCTTATTGCATTTGAAAGGATTGCACTTTTATGCTTTACGATTTTCTATTGCTAGTTAAACGAGTAAACTGTTGCTGTTTAGCTATTTCAGTATATTCTCTCGTAGATTTTAGGTAATGTGTACTTTTGAATCTTCTATGATTTGTATTTGAAACTATAAATAATTTTGGAATCACCTAAACTAAAACTTCCTGTGCTAAGAACATTGATATAAAAAGCTATGAAAGTTACAAAGCATTTTATTAAAATTCACAGGCCTATATCACCAATCGGATCGGCGACACCAAGCTCGGGTAGTTCATCACCGTCTGAGGATTCAGAATCAGAGTCCTCGTCCGCGGAGTCGACGGCCCCTGCACCAGCGCCGACGGCGGCCGCCCCGGCCCCCGCCCCGGCCGCCGCGGCTCCTGCGCCCACGCAGCGCTCATCCTGGGGCCTCTCCAACTTCGCTCCCCCTCCCGCGCATCCTCCAGACCAGACCTATGACTCGGGAAAAGATGTCAGACACGCCCTTGCCGATATCAAAGGGAAACCGGTGAGTTCTTACTACTTCATTTCATAGGTATAGGAACTTTCAGCTACTGTAAGTGCGTGCCGAACAAACTTTGACATCGATGACAAGTTAGCATTTTAGGTACTCAAATTATTTCAACAACTTGTCGACAACTTGTCACGTTTATAATACTTACGCTTCATGAAGTGTTTAATGAATTCCCAACATGTAGGTGTTCGATAGTTAGACACAAACAAATCTCAGAATCTTTGCGTCTCACGGTAGATGGAATGTCTACATCAGCATCTTCCATATTTAGGTCTGACATGCAATATTATCCTGGCTATATTCAGCCTTTCTCAGGTGTCATGTTGCTAAAGATAAACACTACTTGGAAACTAACCACCGACCCACACGGTTCTTAGTAAAAATACTAAGTAAGCACACTTACAATTAGTTGCAGTCTAAATTGGAAGCTCGCTGTTGATTTGACGACTGCAGTGGGACCGCTTGTATTTTTGATTGGTTGAATAAAGCATCTTGTAATACGCCGTTAGGTTGTTGTTATTAGCTATAAGGAACGACCTCTTAACAAAACTGGACGTTCATGGTGCACACGTCGACAGTTAGCACCAACACGCCAAGTGATGATTGTACAGAATAACTATTTACTTTACGCTGTCAAATGATCTGCCTCATCACCATACAATGGCTCAAACAACAGATATCACGCAGAAATGGATCAAACTAGCGTTACTAAAGTCTAGCCTACGGTATGGGCTGTTGTGCTTTGAGAATAGTATACGGGATGTGCCGTTTGAGGATCGAGAGAGAGTGTGGTACCAGTTCCTTAAGCTGAAGGCAGTGATGTGGCAGGCTGTGGGAGCTATGCACGGGAGTATAGGATCTGTGTGCACGTCTAGCTTCTACGAGGTGACCAAAAAGAAAATCATTTTCTTAAGAAGTCAGACCCTATTTGCAGTGGACTTCAGTGGACTTTAGTGTGTTGTACTAAATAGTTGCTTATGTGTATTGTAATGGTTGTTGCAGAGTCCGATTTCTGAGATGTCGGATTCCGAGGCGTCGTCGCCGTCCCCGGATATTAGACGGAGGCGGTCCAGAGTGTCGGCCGCGTCCAGCGATGAAGACACGCCTAGGCATACGGTAAGATAAATATTTATATTTTAATGTATATTTTTATAAAACTACATACTAGTACATACTACATGGGCTCACCAGAGGCCCAATAATTACTTCAATCCTCACTTTATCTTAAAATGCATTCATATGAACATGTACTTTCTGCCTATCGGCAGCTTACTATAGCTATGAATATTGACCAAATAGTTGACACCAAGTGGTCTTCTCTTATCCCATAGACATCTCCACGCGTGAAAATGTCGGAGTCGTCAGCGCCGACGGGTGCGGTGAAACGAGGCCGGCCGCCCAAGGCGCGGGCGTCGGAGGAGCGGCCGCTGAAGAAGCCCCGCGGCCGCGGCCGGCCCCGCAAGCCCAAGCAGGGCTCGTCCCCGGGCGCCGCG